GAGAGAGAGAGAGAGAGAGAGAGAGAGAGAGAGAGAGAGAGAGAGAGAGAGAGAGAGAGAGAGAGAGAAGAAAAATATTCGGCGGTGGGGGCGGCTGTCGTGCCGATTAGCACTCTCTGGGTGTGTGTGTGTGTGTTGATGTGTGTACAATATCTCCGGCAATGATACTGTGCTCCGTATCGACACAACATGCACCTCAGTGAGTCAAGTGAAAAGATGACCCTTAAAGTAGCACTACAAGTCCACTATGCACACGAAAAACAGAAAAATATGCAATCCCAAACCTTAAAGGTCGAGGGGACACAAGACAACCAGTAAGGCATAGAACAACAAGCCTCAACAAAGGACACAGGATGGAGTGCACAGGGGAGGGGGGTGGGCAGAGAAAAGACACAGGGCCTATTTTGCTCCAAACAGACAGCATGCCGAAGGCAAACAACACAAAGCAGCAAAGCCTAAAGGCTGGAGGGCACGGGGGAGGCGGGTGGGCAAACAAACGGCACAATGCAAACAGCACAAAACAACGAAGCACACTGGGTGAAAGGGATGGGGTAGACGAATGGGCAAGCAAACAGCATAAGGCAGCAAAGGAAACAGCGGCAAGCCAAACAACAACAATGCAAAAACAGCACCAAAAAAAATCCAAGCATAAAACAGACAACGACTGAAAAAAGTAAAAATGATGAAAGATTGTTTCGTCGGAGTTGCACAGACTCATCAGGAGGCTGAACCCTCTACAATCTGCGGAATTCCCGTATTTGATGATTTGGGTCATGAACCCTTTGACCCATGTTGAAGGCAGACTGTCCCCAAGCGGGACATAGCAGCGGCCAGCAACCCTGTGGAGGAGCAGGCAACACAGTAGAGGCAACACGGCTGCACAACGCCAAAAACGAATGCAAGGAACGACATGGCACATACGGCATGCAGCGCAGCAGCCGTGTCGTGAAGCACAAGACAACACGAGCACGGCAACAGCACTGCAGGGAACGACAGAGCGAGCCGACAGCAGCTCAGCAACCGTGGAGTGGAGCACAAGGCACCAGCAACAAGGCAACCAACCTACAGGGCACGCAAGCAGCAAACATGGAAGGCACGACCAGCGGATGAGCAGCACGGCAGCGAAGCAGCGATGCACAGGGCAACACCAACAACACGGCGACACCGCACACTGCGCACAGCAAACACATCAACCTGCAAAGAACCACATGCGAAGCAAGTGGGACAGGAAGCAGGACAGCGGCGGAGCGCAGACGAGGACGTCCACATACCCAACACGGAGCAAAGCAGCACATGACCTACTCACATCACGATTGAAGCCCGCAGACTGTTGGTTCCCACCACCCACTGAGCCAGGGAGTCACTCCGACGAGCATCCGTCATCACCCATAGGCAACACAGACAACCCGAACTGAGCAGCCCACATAAGTGTGCAGTAGGCACTACTGAGGAACCACCAACAGTTTAGCAATGCTTGATGGTGCTCCGTTGGGCACACAAAAACTACTTAGAAGAAAACTCAGGAGAAAGACGAACAGACGTACAACTGATTGTGTGTGTGTGTGTGTGTGTGTGTGTGTGTGTGTGTGAGAGAGAGAGAGAGAGAGAGAGAGAGAGAGAGAAAGAGCTCGTGGAAACATTTTTACTGTGCTGCGAAATATAATAATTTGATGGCGGAGTTGAGGTTCGTGCTGAATAAGAGTGTCTTCCGCCCTCCATGTGTGTGTGTGTGTGTGTGTGTGTGTGTGTGTGTGTGTGTGTGTGTGTGTGTGAGAGAGAGAGAGAGAGAGAGA